GACCAGCTTCAGGTTCACTTGGATGAAACAAATGCCCTGGATCCATTCCAGTTGGGCTTTAGGCCGTGCCACGGTACAGAAACAGCATTGGTCGCCCTGTTTGATGACCAATTGAGGGAGGCCAACAGGGGAAAAACATCCCTGTTGGTCCTCCTCAATATCTCAGCCACCTTTGATATCGTCGACCACGGTATCCTCCTGAGGAAGCTCTCTGATTTGGGAATTGGTGGCCTGGCACTTGCTTAGCTCCAATCCTTCTTGGTGGATCGTCCTCATAGAGTACAGCTTGGGGAGAGGGGTTTGGCCCCGTGGAGCCTCAATTGTGGGGTCCCGCAGGGCTTGATCATCTCCCCAATGCTGTTTAATATATATATGAGGCCGCTGGAAGGGGTCATCAGGGGATGTGGGGCATCATGCCATCAGTATGCTGATAACACACAGTTCTACATCTCCTTCTCTCCAACTACAGTGGATGCCGTTCTGCCCCTTCAGTGCTGCTTGGAGACTGTTCTGCAATGGATGCAGGAAAATGGGTTGAGGCTTAACTCGGACAAGACAGAGATACTGAGGATGGGTGGCCCCACCATCAGCGGTTTGGGAAGCTCCCTCTCATTTGGGTGGGGTGATTCTCAGCACAAAGAGTGAGGTTCGTAGCTTAGGGATACATCTGGATCCGGCGCTCACCATGGAAACCCACATGGCCTCAGTTGTCCGCTCTGCCTATTTCCACCTTTGGCAGATTGCCCAGCTACGTCCCTATCTTGATGCTGGGGTGCTCACCACTTTAGTGGATGTGCTTGTAATCTCAAGATTAAACCATTGTAATGCGCTCTACATGGGGCTACCTTTGAGACTGATGTGGAAGCTTCAAATGGTGCAGAATGTGGCGGCCAGACATCTTAGTGGGGTGAGAAAACACCGTCATATCTCTCCCACTCTGGCCGCATTACACTAGCTGCCAGTGCACTTCTACGTCGATTTCAAAGTTTTAATGATTACATACAAAGCCCTAAACGGCTTAGGACCTCGTCATCTGATGGAACGCTTTCTCCCACCAAAATCTGCCCGTATCACTTGATCTAGTCAGGAGGTGCGACTGAGCAGCCTAACGCTGAGAGAGGCCCGGAAGAAAAAAATAAGAAACCGGGCCTTGTCGGCAATGGCTCCTTGGTTATGGAATAATCTACCTTCAGAGATTTGTATGGCCCTTTCACTAGGTTTTTTTAAAAGCCAATTAAAAACCTGGCTATTCAGGCAGGCCTTCCTTGCAGGCACTATTTCATCTATTGTCTTTGTCTTTTTCCATCTTGAATTATTATTTATTCTTGGACACTGATATTATTAATTGTTTATTTTGTCTGATGTACGTCGCCCATAAATGTAATAGACAGACAGACAGACAGACAGACAGACAGACAGACAGACAGACAGACAGACAGACAGACAGACAGGCTCTAGTCTTTTATATACCGCACTCAATCTTTTAGGTGCTCAGCTAGACTTTTTGTCAGCTACCAACTTCCATCAAAGGGTCTCCAAGTTACTTCCCAGCGGATATCCACGTGGGTCGCCTCTGCTATTCAGTTTGCCTACCAGCTCTCCTACTTCCCAGTACCACAACCATGCCAGCTGCACTCCACTAGGACGTTGGTGGCTCCACAGCCTTTCTCCGAGGGATCCCCCTCAATGACATTTGTGCCTCTGCCACATGGTCACAGCCGTCCACATTTATCAATTACTATCAACTGGACATTCACCAGATGTCCGATGCTGCTTTTGGACGTGCTGTACTCTACCTTGGCATGACACCCTCCTCTGGGTAAGAACCCTCCAAAGCAATGATTTATCTTTTAATAGATCAAAGGGTTTTCTGCACTTTAGCACCCCTTTTTCAGAACCACAAATGGACTTCTAGCAATTTCTGGCTTCATTTTTATTGTGGAACATTTTGAGTGGTGGTCTCCAAAAGATTTCATGTGTATAAACCTGGCCGTAATTACCCACCATAATTACCATCCACGGTTGAAAAGAAGGTATGACCCTGGCCTTATGCTACCCACTTCCTTTGGGATCAGGATCAATTGGTATGATGTTGGTGCCATTGCAGGTTTTCTTTACCACAATACCTTACCTTTCTAATATCTTAATAGATCATGAAGGAACAACGTTTTGGAATGCCTCTTGAAAGAAACATTCTAAATGTGTATAACTGAAGGTAGAAATATCATTCAAAACATCTATTCCGGGCTCTGTAACAGTTGTATTAGTTACTGATATTGCTGTTTTTTTTCATTGTCCGTAATCTGAGTACATACTAACATTACAGGTGGGTTTTTAAATTTTTAAAAAATTGTGTATGAAGGAAAAATAGAAAATCCTGCAGAATTTCTGTAAGAAAAGTGTCAGTTATAGGACTGCATCACAGACCAAGTATAATTGATGGAATTGTACCACAGACAGGGTGGATAAAAATCAATTCTGTTTAAAACATCAAATTGATTTAAATCAAAATATCAATTTTTAAATTTAAATTGTGATTTAAATCAATTTAAATCAAATCCGCTCTGAGAGACATTACACAATTATATATTGCTGAGAATCTTTATTACTTCCTGCTTTGTCTGCTATAATCTGTTGTGCGCTGACCTCTGAAATGGTTGTATTAATAAAGTGACAATATGTTTTTAAACTGCATTTCATTTCCCATTGGATGCTATACTTAATGACGTCGTAGCTTCAACTCAGAAATGAAAGCTTTTCCTTTCTGGATAGGCAGGGGTAGGTTTGAAGGGTGACAATGAAAAAGGAACTGGTGTATTTTGGGATGTATATACACACTAAGAAATAATTTTAAAATGGATTTCGCAGATTTTCATAAAAGATGGGTAGCACTTTACTTGAGAAAATGGGGCGGGGGAGATTATAATTTCTGCAGAGCTGTATTTTCATGTGTCTATTTCACTTGTCAACTTACTTTGTCAAATTCTGAATTCTGTATGCATCATTGAACATACCATGCTTTCCTGTAATAACCCTGCTCCCTCACATCCAAACCTCTTTTGTAAATTAAAAAAGAAAATTCTGTCCCTGGTAGAAGCTGTATAGGGGCTTTTCTAGTTGCCTTTTTAAATATATATATATTGGGTGGTGAGTGGACACAATGTCTCCAACATCCTGTTTGGGCCTATGTGGTGCCTGCACCTTTGCTGGTTTGCCACACCTGATATTGAGCATGAAGGTTTAACTGGTGTCAGAATCCATGTAGGAATAGCTGAATGTCTTCACAGGGCCCTTGATTCCCCATGACAGACTTATAGATTTGTGTCTTATGCATCTGACAAGGAATTTAATTGTAATCTCAGAAGATATTGTATCTTGGTACCATTCACTTCCTTCCTGGATACGTTTCAAAATTATTTTTAAAAGTTCAAAAATGAATTATTTCTTTCTTTAAAAGATTTATTTAGCAAGCAAGCAATTGTGTAAATGAAAGCCAAAAAATGTAAAATACTTAAGGGTACATAAAAATTAAATTCACAGTCTCCTAATACAAAAATTTCATATATTCAGATAACATTTCTTCTATATAAAACACAGGTTTTACTATAGTATGAACTTCTGTTAAAATAGTATAAAACTTAAGCTTAGTGATTCAAAAGATACAATACTAAAGCTATCTTCATAGCAAAAATCTACAGTATCAATTAGAAAAACTCTCCTATAAGCCACTTGAAAATCTCTATTGCAATACCTATTGTTTGTAAAACAAACTGAGCATAGCTCAGTGCATACAATGCATTTTAAATGTCAATGACATGTCTCTTAGAATTTTCATGTTAAAAAATGTTCCCCATTTAAGTATCTTAATTTTTTCTTGCCGTTTCTTTGTATTAAAACCTATAATTGACACTAGGCAGAGGTTGCAAGTATCCTGTCTCATAGACATGTCTTTCATTCTTCTAATACTCATCTTTTTTAAGGAATAAACATATCTTTTCTATCCTGTCAGTGACAAAAAGAGTACACTTGTTTGTCAGACAATTGTACTGTTGAGAAGCTAGGTAGAAAAATCTGTTGTTTGAATGAGTTTAAATCACTTTTTTTACTGCCCTTTAAATCTTACTGAGAAGAATCAGAACAAGATAACCCTTTTTACACGTGCTGTTCAAGTAATAAGATGAAGATTAAATATTATATTTCCTTTCATCTTTAATATTTCTTGCTAAATTCTTCCATGGCTTGCTTTACCCAGTCTTGTCCCTCCTTCCTTCCAGAATTTCATGAATATTCCAAAAACCTTAATAATTCCCCTGGATTGTGAAAGATGATTGTGAGATGAAGAGAGATGGCCTCCATGAGTTTGCATTACATTTCCCTTAAAAATTTATGTCTCGAGTTTGGATTGTAGTAAATGCTATAATCATTTTATCTGTGTTTGATAAAGTGAGTCTTACAGTAGACCTGCCTGCTGAGGTGTTTTGGGAAAATATCACAAGCGTTACCCAAGTGACATCATAGCCATTTATGTTCACCAGTTATGGATGATTAGAATTGTTACTGGTTCCTCATGTGTACCTGGGAATCACTTTTTGTCTGTGCATCAGGGTAATATCAAAACTCTAAAAATGGCCAGCAACATAGAGGGAGTTTTCACTTGAGAGACTCGAAGCTGCTTGTTCTGTTATTAATTTTTGATATTTGATTATTTAAAAAGGGAGGTGGCGGAAACACAAAATAAGCATTTTGGTAAATACATACTTAGCATTTCAATTCAGTTACAGCAATACAGTAATTGCTTTAAGTAGTTATGTTTGTTCAGTAATATGTCAATCTTGTTTGACTGAAGATGCCATTATGTGTTAGTACAAGTATGCATTTGTCTAGTTGTTTGGCAGAGTTTGTTTCTAGATTTTACCACAAAGATGATTATGCATTATAATGTATGCTATAAACATCACTCCTATGTATTATGTGATTTTGACGTTTTCTTCAAATTTCAGGTTGGGTGGAACTGTATCTGCTTACAAGATAGTGCCAGATGAAATAGAAGAAATAAAGGTATACTATTCGTTATTTCTCATGTTCAATACTCCAATGCATGTTTGCACTATTTTTGTATTTTAGTATATCTTGCTTCCTTACTTTAATGGTCTTCCTTTACTTATAATGTATGCTAAAATTCATAATAATGTTTTCACTATTGAATTTAGGAAGTATGCTTTCTGGGGTTATTGTGCCATCTGGACCAACCTGTATAATTAATGAAAATCCAATAAAATGTTTGCTTTTGTCCCTTCCCTTCATTTGTTTTATATTGAATGTTGTGTAATTATTTTAGCTGCATTTCTTCAAAGCCAGAAGCATTACAATCAACCTAGAAGGCATTAGAAAGGGTAGGGTTTTTTTTCAGACCTTATTTTTAGCTGACACCTGCATTCATGCTACTTTTAATTAAGCGTTAATTAGGCTCTTTGTTCTATCGCCTGAATGCATAGTAGATGATCAAAGTGAAATTGCTGATTTTTCAAATAAACAGAATGATTTGGTTGGTTACTTAATGTAAAAATATTACTGGAATTTTAATAACTTTAGAAAGACAAAGTGTTAAATAGAAATAAAATTACAAAGAAACCTGTAGCAGTTCTATTTTTTAAAACAGTTTTTAAATGGTTTTAAATTTTAGCAAAAATAGTTGTGTGAAAAATACAGAAAGGACTGATTGCATTAGTTTCTCAAGCAAATAAAACTCCCCCCCCTTTTCTTTAGAATTAGAACATATGGTGCCAAAATATAGTATGAAAATCTTTTAGTTACTTCAATAGCAATATTAAGGTCTTTATTCAAAATTTCCTTTGCAGCTGCAAAATAAGCTTCCACAAGCAGCAGAAAAACCTTATTACTTGTTGCAATATGTTACTGCAAAGTACAACAATACAAATATCAAAGCATGTGCTACAAGTAAGATATATATTGTTGTTGTTTAGTCTTTAAGTCGTGTCCAATTCTTCGTGACCCCATGGAGCAGAGCACGCCTGGCCCTCCTGTCTTCCACAGCTCCCTGGAGATATATAAGAACTACATAAAAGTTTATTGTATAAAGTTTAAAATTGGTCTTGTATATATTATGTACATTAAAACAGTGTTTACAGTAGGTATTAGCCACAATGCTTCATTGTGCGTTGGCTCATGAAACTGACACATGAGGAGTACTATAAACACCAACTAGATGTCTAGTGGCAGTTTGTTACATAGAATCAAAAGTTGGAAGGGCCTATAAGGCCATGGAGTCCAATCCTCTGCTCAATACAGGAATCCAAATTAAAGCAGATCTGAAAGATAGTTGTCTGATTATCCCTTGAATGCCTCTAGTTTTGGAGCATAGAACACCAGCTGCAGAGGCAATTAGTTTAATTGTCGTACTGCTCTAACAGTTAAGACTTTTTCGTGATATTCTGCCTAAATCTGGCTTCTTATAGCTTGAGCCCATTATTACATGTCATGCACTCTGAAATGATCAAGAACAGATTCTGCCCCATCTCTGTATGACAACATTTAAAGTATTTGAAAAGTGTTATTGTATTTCCCCTCAGTCTTCTTCTCAAGGCTATACATGCCCAGTTCTTTCAGTTTTCCCTCATAGGGCTTGGTTTCCAGTCCCCTGATCATCCTTGTAACAGTGCATTTGGTCCCCCCCCCCCCCAGGTATAGAACTTTGTGCTTATACTGTACATATTAAGTTTCATTCTATTGTTTTTAGTCCATGTCACTTCCCTCAATGCTGGCAGAACTAACCACTGTCTATAGAACTAAAGTGCTGTTCATTGAAGACGCAAATTTTAACAGCCCAAATATGTTGACATAAATCAAAATAAAGGATTTCAAACATTCACTGTGATTATAATAATTTGCATAATACTGAGATTCAGCAATTCAGTTCACAAATATGATTTCACAAAGTTTTCCGGGATCTTTCTTGCTCCAAATGCAAAATGGATTACCTTATCAGAGGCCTTTCTATCAATGTCAGTCCATAAGAGTAAAAGGATTTTCTCCATCATGCTACTGGTGAATAGTTTCCAGAAGTGCAAGCATGAGCTCTGTCTTGCACCTTCTTTTGTGACCTCAAAGTCTTGCTTCAAACATTTGGAGGACCTCTGAAGCATGTTTTCAGCCCAGAGAGAGCTGCAAGATGCTACTACTGCTACTGTTGTTATGTGTTAGTAAGTTGCTTCTATTTTATGGCAGACCTATGAATTAATGACCTCCAAAAGATGCTGTCATTAAGAACGCTCCTCTGGCCTTGCACACTCAAGGCCATTGCTTTCTTTATTGAATCAGTCCAACTCATCCTTGTTTTTCCTCTTTTCCTGCTAATTTCAATTCCCAGCCTTATTGTCCCTCCCCCATTGATTCTTGTCTTTTTATAATATAGCAAAAAAGAGGTAGTTTCAGCGTAGTCATTTTTGTTTCTACAGAGAGTCCTGGTTTGATTTTATTTATCTTGTCTTTTTGGAAATGTGTAGTATCTATAAAGGTGTTGGAGGAGACCCTTTTGTCTTTTTGGAAATCAATAGTATCTCCAAAGCTCTTGTCCAACACCTCACTTCAAATAACTTTTATTGAAGAGGTCTTCAGACCATTTCAAATAAACCATACACAATATACAAAAACCCAAAGAGTCTAAGCCATGAGTAAATGGACAGACCTTGTGGGCTAGGGGGATGGTCCTTCATGAACGTAGCAAGAAAGCTTTAGAATATTCCAGAGACCTCTGCGCAAGCGCAGATTAAAGCCATTAGTGTGAATTCACAGATGACCACTCAAAGAGCCAGAGTTACAGGTAAGTAACCTCTCTTTCTTGTAGAGCAATCAAAGGTTGAGAAAAATTCAGTAAGTTCACCCTCATGCTGGCAGATATGCCATCTGGCTATGTTCCAGGAAACCATTTTAACTGGTGTTATGGGTTGATCATTTTGCAGACGCGGGATGAATAATTACGAGAATCAGGGGGAATGGGGGCAAATACATTGGTAATAAGGTCTATTTTTGTATCACACCAGCCCTATTATATCAGACGCTTATAACTCTTCTATCCAGTTGATTTGGAGATTATTCACCTTCTAGAGCAATACTGGACAGTGTCTGCGAAGCAACCAACATGAACCTGACACAACTCCGGGAGGCAGTAGAAGACAGGAGGGCCTGGCGTGCTCTGGTCCATGGGGTCACGAAGAGTCGGACACGACTAAACGACTAAACACACACACAGAGCAATACATATAAATTCATCTTTAAAGGGGCCCCATTTACAGACATTAGATCTCAAGGGATGAATAACCTCTGATTTGGGGGATTTAGGACCACAACCCAGCTCCTCTTCTTTCAAATACCTCATTTCAACCCAATCTGAATCTGCTGCCATACCTTTTGTTCTGCATTTTGATGGGATCTCATTAAAAGTGTATTAGGAACCAAAGGATTTAGCTCAACTGAGATAACCTGGGCTGTTGAATTTTCCTTTCTACTACTCGGCTATCTCTTATAATACATGTTGATTATCTATTCCTATTTTAACTGACAGTAACTGTCTCACTGTATCAGATACTGCTTTTAGTTCCATTGAATCTACTTCATCACCATAATATTTGTGTGCCAAACAGTACCACAATACAGTAAGTCAAATCTATCCAGTATTTCTTTTTGAACAATAGGTGACCAAGATCAGAATAAGCTCAATAGAGCTTTCTGTTCTGGGTTAAATAACTCAAACGGCTTGAAGAAGTTTTGTTGGATATCCTGTTTAGCTAGTGAAGTACCTATATCATTCAAATTTGAGTTTAATACTAGTGTCACTGGCTGTAGGCAAGGAGATACAATTTCTTGGGGCCAATTTAGGTCTATCAAATTTTCAGAGCTATATCAGGTTAGGACAATTTACCCTTGGGAATGGCATTTTGAGAGCTAAATAAAGTTGTTGCAAGAGACCCTCTTGTCTTTTTGGAAATCGATAGTATCTGCAAAGCTCTTGTCCAACACCTCATTTCAGATAACTTATTTTTTTTCCCTTCCAACTTTCTTCACTGTCCTGCTTTCATACCCCAGCACACTAGATGTCAGTACGATATAATGGATGATTAGAGTCTTGGTTTCCAAGGACATATCCTCACACTTAAGGATCTTTTATAGTTTCTTCAAAGATGCCCTTCCAAGGCTCAGGTTTCTGATTTGTTTGCCTCAATCTCCCTTTGGACTGGGGATTCTTCTGTAGCTTTGAAAGTGAATACCTCTTAACTTTCTAAAATTGTTGTTTATTACATGATTCTTCAAAGGCACCTATCATTATTGCATCTGTTCTATATTGTTCTTTTTCACCTTCTGTTTATGTTACCTTAACCAGATTTTGTTGTTGTTTAGTCGTTTAGTCGTGTCCGACTCTTCGTGACCCCATGGACCAGAGCACGCCAGGCCCAGAGCACCTTAACCAGATAATGGCCAAAATTCCATTGGAGGGGGGTCCACAAAAACAACAAGAATGATGTCTTCATTAATTGGCAGATTGTCACTGATTAAGGACATTATTTTCTGATTTGGGGGGAGTACAGTATATGATTTTGTCTCTGTATATGCAAACAAAAATTTAAAAGCAAACAAAGTCTTCGACAATCTACTGCTGCTGCTGAAATAGTTTCCAATTGTCCTAGGAGAACTCACAACAAGATTTTGGCCAATGTATTCTCGTATGATCTTTTAATCCTTCTAATCTTGGTTTACATTTTCTTGGATTTTATAGAGGAGATGTCCTACTTTTCCTCTTCTTCTGTTTCTTCTTTTCTTTACTTTGTAACATTTCTCTTTGTCCCTGTGTGAGAGTTGCTAAAAAGATACTTTTCAAATTCTGGCCCTGTTTCTACCATCCTTTACTTTTGCTTGTTGTCTGTAATTAGCAGTTTTAAGTCGAGGTACCAATTGTAGATTCATTCATCTACAATTCTTTTTTCTTTTGACTAGTTGAATAGTCTTTCAGCATTTTTTCCTGATAATATCTCTGGTTTACATTT